TCTCTCATGAAACTTCTTTTCCCTTCCAACAAGGCTTTCCCACTCCTAAGACCGTTACACTTGACCCATCAAGGGGCACAGCTGTAAGGACCAAAACTGTGCACCTTGGCTAATGTGCGTAACTGCACGAGGTTCACCTCGCTGGAATAAGATCGAATTTTCAGCCCCTTTAGCAGTACAGCAGGGGTGCTGATCACTAAGGCCCTAACTGTGGCCTGTAATGTGGGTGAATTTGGTTGTCTGAGTTCCTGTGTACTGAACAAGGAACCCACCCCCCTCCCGGCAACCCTGCCTTCCCCTGTCCTATTCCTCTTCCTCTCCTTTCTAACAGGGACTGCCCACTCATCAGACCTTTACACTGAACTCCTGAAGGTGCACAATTGTAATGACCCAAACTGTTCACCTTGATTACTAATGTGCATAACTGGGCATAGCACTGGAATAAGATCCTGTTTCCCACCTCTTGCAGTATAGCAGAGGTATTGATCACTAGGGCCCTAATCTTGGCCTATTATATGGGTCATTGTGTTTGAGCTCCTGTGTAGTAATTTTCCCCCCTAGTAGTAATTTTCTCTCTCATTTGAATAAGGTCCAACTTTCAGCCCCTTTTTGCCGTACAGCAAGGTTGGTGATTATAAGGCTGTAGTATTGGCCTGTTGCATGGATGATTGGGCCTGTCTCAGTTTCTGTATAGTAGGCCCTCTCCCCACCTCTGCTGTGCTCTCCTGTAATCAACTTCCTTTCCTTTTCAAAAGGGGCTTCCACTCCATAGGACTCTTACACTTGACCAGTCAAGTTGCAGAACTGTAAGGACCAAACCCATGCACCTTGAATATTCATGTGCATGACTATATGTGGTTCATCTCATTTGAATGAGATCCTACTTTCAGCCCCTTTTTGCTATATAGCAGGGGTGCTGATTACTAAGGCCTTTATTCTTGGCCTCTTATGTTGGTGATTATGTTTTTCGGAGTTTCTATTTATTATGCAGGAACGGTCCTCCCCAACCCTCTCCTGCCTTCTCTCATCCAACTTCCTTTCCCTCCTAGCAGGGACTGCCCATTCCGTAAGACCCTTACACTTCGCCGGTGTGCACAGTTGTGATGACCAAAGTCATGCACCTGGAATACCAACTTGCATGACTGCGCATAGTTTGTCTCATTTGCGTAAGATCTTACTCTCAGCTCGTTGGAAGACAGCAGGGGTACCAATTGATTACTAAGCCTGCTGATCTTAGCCTATTATATGGGTGATTATGTTTGTCTGAATACCTGTGTATCAGACCTTTCTCCTCAACCCTGCTCTGCCTTCCCCTGCTCCAACTTCCTTTCTCTTCCAGCAGGGACTCTCTACTCCGTAACACCCTTACAGTTGAACAGGCAAGGAGTTCAATGCCTTGTAATTGTAATGATCAAAACCATGCACCTTGAATGCTCGTGTGTATAGCAGCAGGTAGTACATCCATTTGAATAAGATCCTACTTTCAGCCTCTTGGTACAACAGGGGTGCTGATTATTAAGTGCTCTAATCTTGGCCTGTTATATGGGTGATTATTTGTCTGAGTTCCTATGTACTAAATAAGGAACCTTCCCCGCCTGCATCCAACTACCTTTCTCTTCCAGCAAGAACTGCCTGCTCCATGAGAGCCTAATATTGAATAATAAAGGTGCACAATTTTTTTATCACAACTATATAGCTGGAATACTAATGTGTGTAACTGCACATGCTTTGTACCATTTGAATATGGTCCTTCTCAGCCCCTTTTCCGATACAGCAGGCATGCTGATCACTAAGGCCCCTATTCTCAGCCTGTTATGTGGCTTATTGTGTTTGAGTTCCTGTGTGTACTAGACAAGGGCCTCCCCCCAGGTCTCCCCTGCCTTCTTCCATCCATCTTCCTTTCCTTTGCAGCCCACTCTGTAAGACTCTAACACTTGCACAGTCAAGGTGCATAACTGTAATGACCAGCATCACATACCTTAAGCTATAATGTAACTTCACATGGTTCATCCCATTTGACTAAGATGCTACTCTCAGCCCCTTTTACAATACAACAGGGACGCTGATCATTAAGGCTCCTATTGGTCTGTTATGTGGGCATTTGTTTGTTTGAATTCCTGTGTATTAGACAAGGAACCCTCTCAACCCCGCCCTGCCCTCTCCCATCCTTCTTTTCCCTTCTAGATGGAACTTCCCGCCCCATAAGACCCTGATACTTGAACCATGAAGGTGACCAATTACATTGATCCCAGTCGTGAACCTTCAGTACTACTGTGCATAACTGCACCCGGTTCATCCCATTTGAGTAAAATGCTACCCTCAGGCAGTTCTTTGGCAATACAGCAGAGGTGTTGATCACTAATGCACCTATTCTTGGCTTATGTAGGCCTTTATACTTGTCCAGCTTGTTGTGTACTATACAAGGAAACCTCTGCCCTGATCCTTGTCTTCCAACTTCAGAGATGAGTACTGCATAAGAACGTTATGCTTAAACCATCAAAGTGCACAATTATAATGACCACAGTTGTACACCTTAGGCATTAATGTGTATAATTGCACATGGCTAATCTCACTGGAACAAGATCCTTCTTTCCAGACCCCTTTTGCGGTAAAGCTGGGGTTTCTTAATACAGTTGTCCATCCTTATTTGGAATATTACACTGATGATTATATTTGTCTAGGTTTCTGTGTACTAGACAGCAACCCGCCTCCCCCCCTCCCCCCCGCTTCCTTTGCCTTCCAGCAGGGTGAGGACTCCATAGCACCCTTAGATTTAAAGAGTCCAGATGCACAGCTGTAATGATTGCAACCATGCATTTAGGACATTAATATTCATAACTGCATGTGGCTCACTTCATTTGACTAAGATCTTACTCTCAACCCCTTTAGCAGTCGAGCAGAAACGCTGATCCCTAAAGCCTCTTCTTGGCTTCTTCATGTTCTTAGTTACTAGATAAGAGTACCCTATCCACTCCCCCTTTACTTTTCAAATGATGATGCCCACTACTGTAAGATCTATATACTTGTACAAAGTATGTAGTTTTACTCGTTCACAGCTATGTCTCTGGGACAGTAATGTATATCATCAGGACATAGTTCATCCTATTTAACTAGTTACCCTCTTACCCTCCATTTGCAGCATACCAAAGTTTCTAAGTCCCCTTTTTGTGACCTGTTACTTGCAGAGTTTCATCAGGCTGGGTTCTTGTGTGCTAGACAAGAACACCCCATCTCTAACCTCGGCTTTTTAATGAGCAGTGGTGCTCGCTGCTTAAGACCTTTACATTTGGACAGGTACTGTGCATTATTGCAGTTGTGCACAGCTCTGTTACTTCTAGGACCATTGTACCTCCTTTGCACTACTGCAGGGGATATATATATATATAATTGAAATTTTCTGTTGTCTTTGTCAGAGGACTAAGGTCATACCCCTCACATTTCATGTGGCCTGCAGCAGAGTGTTGATAACCAAAGTCCTGATTTTGGACTGTTAATACATACAATTGCATTTATTCCTGTATTGTGCACTACTAGAAAAGGATCCCAACCTGTTTTCTTAGTATTTTCAGCAGAAAGTTCCCACTACTTAAGACTCTTTCGCTTGGAAACTTCATGTACACAAACAAAATTTTCTAAGCATGTCTAATATCAGAACTCCTGTACCCTCTTTGCTTTAAAGCAGAGAGATGCTTTCACTTAGTATCCTTTCATTTGGGCTTCAGTGTGCCTTATTAATATAATCGCCCCTCCCTTTTGTGGACTAGAATTTTATCTCCTTATATCCCCTTTGCATCAGGAGCATGTTAATGATGAGTGAGCCTTCTCATGTGAGTGGTTACATGCTTAATTATCTTTGTCTGTGGACTTGTGTAGTAAAAAAAGGACATTATATTATTATCAGTGCCTCTTGATCACTGCTGAGGAGTACCATTTATAATGGCTGCTCTTGAACAGTTAGTGTACAATAACCAATTACAGTTATCCCGAGCAAAGATCATTAAATAGGACCCTGCACCCTCTGTATGCATCAGAGGTGTTGACCAAGACCCCTTGGATTGTTAGTGTGAATATAGTTACGTATGCCTAGGATGCTATATCCTCTTACTCCCCCACTGCCTTACTGTAGGAGCTGCTGACCACCCAAAACACCTCTTGAGACTGATAATGGGCACAATGACAATTATTAATGTTTTTTTTTCTCCTAAATTATCTTGGGACTGTTAGTAGGTACAATGGCAGTCATAAATGGTTTTTTCTTTCCTGGCCCTGTTAAATGATCCTCTCCCGGTTTCCCATGGCATTAATAAAGTGCAAACATTGCAGTATGCCATGTACTTGTGCATCAAACAAATCACCCATACTTCCATACCTTTTTCATTGTTTCAGTATATAAAATCCCAAGTAGCCATGGTCTCACCATTTATACAAGGTCTTCTCTCTCTCCTGCCCCTTGTCTGCCTTGCGTCCCTTCTTAGGGACTATTTATGCTCATAATATGGCCATTAGATATGACTGTGCTCCCTCTCCCACCCCCTCCCCCTGCCCCGGCCCTTTTACTTCTTTGCTGGGTAATGTTGACTGGGCAAGGACCTTTCTCTTGGGCTTACCAAGTTTAATAATCCCACATGTCATTAGTTTACCCGCTTTTACTGCTGTAATGTCTCAGTTGTACCTTCCTTGGTCCTGCCCATTAGACATGGAGTTCTCCACTTCCTTTACGTTGCTCCTGAGTAGTGCCAGTTACTCAAAGCCACTTGTGTGTTACCAATGAGCACAGTGTACATTGTCCCATTTTTTTTTTTTACCCCATCAGTCCCAGATGTCCCTATCACTTTGATGTGTTGGTGCAGTATTACTTATCAAAAGCAGGCCTGAATTAGATGGGTGAGCCTTCACTCTTTTTCTTCCATTCATTAATAATCTCAGTTCCAATTATTGGCATATTCTGGGGACAAGAACCTTGCCGCCTCGGTTGCTGTTTAATTGTGGAAAATATGCAAGGCAAGCGAGAGTCAAAGAGCTGGATTGCCACCTTTGAGTTGGGGCTTTCAGTATACAGTATCAACTGAAAAACTTTCTCCCCCAGGAGGAAAGTTAGTGCTTTATCTGCAGTTTTCCTCTCAGAGCATATTACCTGGCTAAGAATCTCACATCTTGTCCTTTGTATGTTACTGTTGTATGGTGCCAGTGGCCAGGTTACAAACAGAAAAATTGCTCTTGTTATTTTATTTTTAAAGAAAGACATTTGGAATGAAAGTGGAATTGATCACCTCGTCACTAGCTTTTACTGAAGCAAAAAAAAAAAAAAAAAATCCATTTATATTATATACTTGGTGACCAGTTTCTCATTTTACTGGGCTAGATCACCATGAGTCTTACTGTCTCAGTACCGTATTACCGAAGGAATTCTAGAGTGGAACTCTTAGCACCAGAATCTTTGTTGGGCCTGTACTACAATGTAAGAGCCAATTTATCTTTGGGTTTTACCGTGTTTTGCTTTTAGGAAAATTACCTAAATGTTTCATCCTTAAATTCTTCACCTTAAGCACTAGCCTTTTCTTAATTCAAGAAGATTGCTATAAATGGATTAAATGAGAGAACATACGCTGAGGTGCTTTTGAAAACCATAGGCCACCTTATTTGATTAGTCTGTTATATAAAGTGTGCCATTAAATTCTGCTAATAATTTGAAGTGGTTTGAAGAACCACCGTAAAGATTTACTCTTAAATGATGGGACCTGTTTCCCCATTTTAAGAAAAATAAGTCAAGATCTAATCATTCTTCTAACCATAAACTTTTAGTAAGTGTAGTAGATGCTTAATAAAAAAAAAAAAATCCCATGCTCTAAGTGTATGAGGCAGTGATGGCAAACTTATGGCACACTTGATGCAGTCGGCTGTCTGTTGTCATTGAAAGCTTTAAAAGGTTCGTTTTCGCTGCTATAAGGTGTTCGGTGGTAACTCAATATTTAGTGTGAAATAGCTGAATCGAATAACTAGTCGTCCCAACAGCCATTCATTGTGGTCATTGAGAAGGGATACTATTCCTCAAGAAGGACGTCAAAAGATCTGCCCAGCTCGGGATGCCGTTTGCATTACTAGCTCCTTGGACAGCTGTAAGAAGAGTTGCTGGCTTTTTAGAATACTGTGAGTACTGTTTGGTAGCTATTAACTAATGTTTTTCCTGTTTTATTTTCTTTCTTTCTATAAGATGATGCCCATAGAAAAGTCAGAAGGTTTTAGTAAGTGTCTTTGCCTCTTCTCAAATCATCTGCAATAATATACATACATAATACATATATATGTTAACCATCAGATTTATGGAATTAAATATTGTGTACCTAGCCCTATGCTAGGTTACCCTGAAATGAGCGTTAGAAATCATATCTTACATAACTTCATCCCTGGGATGATTGTATTGTTGAAGAGCTAATATAAACACACTTGAAGTAACTTTAGGAAATGATGATAAAGTATTGTTTTGAAAGAATTATAAGTAATGGAAGGTTTTTTCTTTCTTTCTTTCTTTCTTTTTTTTTTTCTTTGGAGGCAGAGTCTCACTATGCAATCCAGGCTGGCCTTGGACTTATTATGTATGTAGCCCAGGTTGATCTCAAACTCACAGTGATCCTCCTACTTCAGCCTTCTGTGTACTGGGATTACAGGCATGTGGCACCATACCTGGCAGTGATAGAGTTTTTAAAAGGGATCTCACTAGGGTTTGAAGTTGATAGGATAAGTTTAGTTTATTTTTTGTCTTTTTGAGACAGGTTTTGATATTCAGTTTAGGCTGACCTTGAGCTCACTTTGTAGCCCAGGCTGACCTCAAACTCACAGTGATCCTCCTGCCTCAGCCTCCCCACTGCTGAGATTACAGGCGTGTACCACCACACCCAGCTGATAGGAGTTTCCTTTTTCTTTTTGAGCCAGGGTATGATTAATACTGTAGCCATCTGGGTAGTCCAGTTGGTTTATTTTAATGTCTTTTTAAAAACCTGGAGACATGGAAAGATATTAAGGAGATGGAACCTGCCCATTGTGTTTGGCTATATGTCAGGGATGCAAATAGGTAATTATTAACTTTCAAGCTTAAGCTTTTCTTTTGGTCTTTTTTGAGACAGGGTCTCGCTATGCAGTTCAGGCTGGCCTTGAGCTCACTTTGTAGCCCAGGCTGGTATCGAACTTGCAGCCATCCTTCTGCCTCAGCCTCCCGAGTGCTGGGATTACAGGCGTGCTCCACCACGCCCGGCTAAGTTTAAGCTTTTCAAAGTCCAGGGCTTGGGCTTATAAACTTGATACTTTGGCTGTTTGTACCATTTTGCTGTATTTCTACCCAAGAACAGATGACCGTGGATAATCCAAATCAGAGATACGTTTTAATTTGGAATCTTTTTGCCAAGCAATACAGTGGAAACATACAAGTTTTATAAGGAGGTCTTGATATTGTTTATTTTGTACTGTAGTTTATTTTACCCTTTTCCCTTTACCGTTTTCAACAGGTACCATGGCAAGCTAAAACAAGTTTAACCTTCTTGATGTAAATCAAACACAGATGTGGACACAGATGTCCACATTGAGGAAAAATCCTCCTTCACATAAAATTTGAATCTGTTTTGGTGCACGTCTATGCATCCTAGCAGGAGCAGCAGGAACCATGAAAATGAGCTGGGCTTCTTTTACTGACCATTTTAATGTCCATATTTCCTAAAAAACTTGCCCCCTCCCAAAGCCTGGCAATATTGGCTGTCTAGCCAGGGGAAATAAATACCTTGAATCTTTTTGGAAGTGTGTTCTGTGGCATTGTTTCTGTAGCTCTAGCTGTGTTTCAGAATGAAACACTTATTTATTTTTTGAAACACCTTTTAAAGATACAAAATTTTCTGAGGTCTTAAAGAATAGATTTTGTGGATTGCTGACTTAAGAAAGTTACTGGAAATGTAAACACGTTTTCCAATTTTAAGTTATCTTTGTCAAAGACCTGTCTTACACAACTCATAGAACTTGGAGATGCATGAAAATATATCTACAAACCCCCAGAATTCTTATCATTCCAATTTGATGAAAAGTGATCTGTGTTTATTAAAATGCTTTATTGCTATTAATCAAATTGTCATTCAGTATCAACATATACCAATAACCATCACTGCATTTTTTTTAAAAGGATGAATTTGAAGCTGGCCTCTGCACCCTGACTCAAGACGAAGATGACTCGATTTTAGGTGGATTGATGACTGCAAGACAGTATCCAAAGGTGAATATTGTAATTGCATTTTAGTTTATTGCTTGAAATAATCTCTGTAATTGAGAAAAATCTCTGGCAATTGTCAAAAGGGATGTTCTAGAAGTGTGGGCATTTTCAAAATTGAGATAGACCTTGTTTTAATTCAAACATTGTGCCAGACACTGGAGGAAGTAACAAAACCAAAGACATTTCTGTCAAGGAATTTGCTTTCTCATGGAGGATGGCGGAAATGAACAAATCATTATGGTGGAGTATAAATTTTAATGAGTAGAGCAAACACATTAAGAAGTTCTTGGAGCGTAAGGAAGATGACAGAGGAATCTCAAAATTCTTGTCAATGAATACTGAAAACTAGATTCGTAGTTCTGTATCACTTGCAGAAGGTAACCACTTTCTCTGGACTTAGATCCACCCCTTAAGGGAACGGGCATGCTCTTTGAGTATGCCATTATCATAATAACAGACAAAACCAGAGGACTGACGCTGACCTTAATGCAGCCACATTCCCTCAGCAACCTAACAAAATAACAAGGTAGTTTAGAGGTAAAAGCCACAATAACCTACAACTTGTATAACATTGAGGAAATCAGAATATCTTTTTTGTGAAGGACATTCTGAGTATGTGAAACTTGAGGACTGCATACAGCTAGGGAGTCTCCAAATTCAGCAGTTTTCCTTTTGAGATTTGGACAAGATTCAGCTAATCTTGCAAGCCACCTGGAGAAACAGTTAGTTTGAAGAATTTATTGTCGTTAGATTTTTTTTTTTTTTTTAAAGAGAGAGTCTTGCTATGTAGTTCAGGCTGACCTCAAACTCCTAGCAATCCTCCTGCCTCAGCCCCCTGAGTGCTGGGATTATGGGCATGTGCCACCACGCCTGGTTTAGACTTCTGTCTTTTGACTTTTAAGGATTTTAGCTTTCTTCAACTTCTTTTTAAAAGTAGAGCATGAACCAGTCTTCGTCAATTTGTACAGTTTTCTGCCTTACCTTGCTTTGCCTTTTCTTCTCCCTTTCCTTTCCCTTACCCTTTCCCCTTCCCTTCCTTTTGGATAGGGTCTCACTGTATAACCTGGACTGGGCTCAAATTTGAAAAGCCTCCAGAGTGCTGGGATTATAGGCATGTGCCCCCACATCCCTAGTCTTTTGTAGCTTTTTTTTCTCTATGGAGTTGTTAGCTACTCTCATAATTGGGGTTCTATATGGCTGTGGTCATTCTTGGTTTCTCTGAACATCCTAGAACTCTGGTGGTACCCTATCATCTAAGTTGCTCAAGAAATGTACCATGTGGATTGAATAGAAAACCAGCTCTATTTACTGTGGCAGTATTCCAGTTTAATACTGTTTACAGATTTAAAAAGGTACTGCTGCAAAATTAGGTAGCAGGCACTTTGATTGATGTGGATTGCTCAGTTTTTAAAATAGTGCTTTCAAAAGAAGCTAGGGACAATGTGAAGGACAGTTCTTACAGAGCTTATGGGATGAGACCACATTGGAGCTTTTCTAAGTGGCTTCATGGCTCTCTTAGTTGAGAAAGCTCTGACTTCTCCTTCCATTTGGTTTGGGCTTTTAGTTTCTTGATCCTCATAATATTTTGTGGTGAAAACACAAGAGCATGAATAGTCTGCATTCTAGATCAGTGATGACAAACCTTTTAGAGCTTTCAATGATAAAATGGCCCACTGTGTGGCATGTGTGCCATCAGTTCACCACCACTGTTCTAGATGATTGCTCATAAAGACTAGAGAATAAAACACAATTTGGGAATTGTGGTAATTATTCGGCTTTAAATTGCTCTTAGAGATTTTTTGTTGTTGTTACTTTTGTTCTTTTTTTTTGAGGCTGGGTCTCACTGTGTAGTTCAGGTTGGCCTTCAACTTACTGTGTTCCCAGACTGATCTTAAGCTCATGGTGATCCTCCTGAATCAGCCTCCTGAGTGCTGGGATTACGGGTGTGCACCACCACACCTGGCTCTATATTCCGTCATTCTTGCCATGTTCTGAAGCGTATATGGAAGTTTTCTTTGTGAATGTCTGGAGTTGTGCTGTGGAATATCCTGAATTGATTTTAAACATTTACCTTTCATGATCATTTAGACTTCAGGGAAGAACCAGAAGTCACAGGGTACCAGATCTGGTGAACAAGGAGGTAGATGAGGACACGTAGTTGTATTTTTACAACCCTGCCTTCTGTTGGGTGGCACTGAGCATCGGAATTCACCATATTTTTGATATACTTTGTAAAGATACTCAGGAAAGAGAACTTTCAGAATCACTTCAGAAAATGGCAAGAAGGATGAGATGAGTGAGGGGGGTGGGATGAGTGAGGCAAAGTGAGAGGGAGTCATTTGAGGGGATTGATAGTAATCTTCCTAATAACCAAGTTACAATCATGTATGCCTAAAATGTACCGATAAGCTTAATAAAAATTAGTAATCTTCTTTTATATAATGAATTTTTACAAATTTAAATATTTATCATGTATTTCGATCCCAACTTGTAGAGGTCAATCTAGCAGTAAGTGTCTACCCTTCAGTACATACAAAGAAAAGTCTAGATAATGATTCAGCTCAACCATTAGTTACCCACTGGGACAGAGTTTGCCAGTGTACTTGATTTTAAAATTAATTTTTTTTTTTTTTTCCTCTTTTCTCTTTTCAGATCTTTGGGAGAACAGGCTTGTTGCTTTACGGTGCTAGTGACCTATTCCCTTTGAGGATCCCTAGGTGGAGATGGGGCATGAGGATCCTCCAGGGGAAAAGCTCACTATCACTGGGCAACAACCTTAGGTCTAGAGGTTTTACGAACTTTCCTGGACCCAAATGGAAAGCTGAAGACTCAAAGACAACCAGCATGCATCGATAGGTAAGCGATCCTTAGCAGCATAGTAGACATTTCAGTTAGTTTTCCACTGAGGTTGTATCCATCATTTTCTTGTGTCTGTGTTGATGAAAACAGCTTCCTAATTTCAAAGCACCTGAGTGTGAGACTGGTGAAAGCGATGATGTGAAGAAGGCAGCGGGCTTCATGAGTTAGGATGTTTAAGGTAGAACTGTAGGATGTTGTGGAGGCCTAAATTGTTCAAATTGTTCTATCTTTCAGGACAGCATGGACAGCAACTGCTGCATCAATATTGATTTCATGAGCAAGTAATTGTGTTTTACCTGGTCCTCAGTTTCCCTGGAAGCCCTCCCTACAGAAGAACTTCCAGTCATTTATATACTTCAGGTGCCTTGTGATGTCCATTAGATATAACCTACAATAAGCTGTTTGAGAAGAGAAATGAGAGAATTGTGTCTTTTTATGTTATGCTTCTGATTGATGGAAGCTTCATTACTACAGATGGAAACCTAGCCAAACGTGGCTCACAGTTATCATCAGGTGAGTTCTAGAGAACTAGGACCTATACTGTTCTTTGTATGTGAGACTAGTTGTAACTCAGGATTTTTGTAGCGAGAACTAGGACCTTACATTCTGTAGCTCAGTGATGGGAGGAGTTGATGAGGGAAGGCAAGAGTGGGAGGTGAATGTGGCTGTCCAGTGCAGTAAATCCTTATTGTGTAGACATTCCCTAATATTCTTCGAAAAGAATAAGTACCCTATAAATTCCATGATATATTTTCATGGGCAGAGCCTTTAAGATGTTATAATTGACTAGAAAGACCCGTGTATTTAGAAATTGATAAAGTTAGTAACAACTTGTTAGAAAGTCTAAGAACTTAAAGTTAAGGTGAGAGTTTTCTAGAAAGATCTATCTTTTGTACTCAGAATGTTAAGGCTGTTACCTTCTGTAGATTTTCTTATTGGGAGAATGACTTCCTCCCAGCAACCCACCTTTATCTCAGAGTTTTAGAAATGCTCTCCATGTTGTCTTTTGATAATTCTGAGCAGTATTTATTTGCTTAAAGCTAACTTAGTCATGGCATGGTGGCACATGTGCCTGTAATCCCAGCTCTCTGGAGGCTGAGGCAGAAGGATCACTGGGTTCTAGGCTCTCCTGGGTGGCAGTGAGTTCAAGGCCAGCCTGAACCACATAGTGAGACCCTGTGTCAAAAAATTAGGAGAAAATCAATAATGCTAACTTGGATTGAATTGTTAGGCTCTTCTCATTTTATCTTTATGTTTATTTTTGTGATCTCAGTTATTGATCACTTGACGGGACTCCTTTCTACCTGGTTGACATTTTAAACAAGATTCCACACTTCACTTTAAGTTGTAAGCCTATGACTGGTGATGTTCCCTCCAGTGACTCATCAAGTCTTCAGTGATGGACATTTTCCCATTTATGCCATAGTTTCTTATTCTGTTTACTGAGGAAATTTAATTCATTATATTTCTAAGGACCTAAAAGCTTCCACTTTATAGTTTTCTTATACTGTGTGGAAGCATTTTTTAATAGCTCATTAATTTGAATCTTTTATAACTGTAGCATAGTACTCAATACTTGATGAATAACATTTATATGGTTTCCTCTCTTGTTTTTTTGTAGCTCCTGTTTGTTTCCTTCATATCTTTTGAATCATTGTCCTTTCGAAAAGCAATGCAAGTGATGGGTCTTCAGCAGGACCAAGAAATGTAAACATGCCAAAGGAAGTCATCTTTCCTATCTGAAGATGAACATGCTTAGTACTATAACATCTGAGAATAGCAGAATGCAGTAAGTTGTGGATGTTGCAGTCCTGTAGGTATTGGTTGGGAGTTGGTGTTAGATGGAGTATGGTGGTCTAACATGAAGCAGAGCCAACTATGAGATGGGAAGATGATTAGTCTCCCTAGTCTCCCATATTACCAGCTGGCCTTACTGAAGCAACTCAAAGATATTACGGTCTGCTTACCAGTTGTATCACAGAGGAACTTAGCCTCTCTTTGTCCTGTTGTGTATCTTCATTGCCTTAAGTGCTCTGCTATTCTTACAGGCTTAAACATCGAAAAGCCTAAAAGGTAGTTTTTGCTTTCTATTGAAAGCATGGCTCTTCTCCATTTGTGAGAGAATCTATTCGCAGTTAAGATTTAGTGTGAAAAGAAAACTAGATCCTGAAATAGCCTTTTTAATTATGTAGGATGTAAAAACCAAGTCAGTTTCCTAAAGGGATGTGGGGGGGAAGGTAAATCCAAAAAAGGAGAGGATTGAATAAGGGCCTTTTATTAAAATACTCACTCATCTGTGAAATCTTGTTTGGCTTTTATGGAAGTCCTTGTAAAGAGTTGTAGCAGAGTGTTAAAAAACACATATTTTGTGTTTAATCGTTTTTGCTGCTCATTAGATGTATGACTTTTGACCATTTAGAGTTTCTAATTAGGTTTGTCTGTTGCTGAGGGTTAAATGAAATCATGAATGTAAAGTGCTTAGTGCAGTGCCCGGTATGTGGCAGATAAAAGCTAACCCAAGGAATTTCCCAAGTACCTTAGACACAATACAAATGGCCACTGACAGTCTCTGGTGGCAGATGGAATGTTGTGGTTCTATATAAGAATTCCTCAGCTGAAAATTTATGAGTAGAAGGACACCTGTATTTTTGATGTTATTATATATTGTTATTAGAGGTATTGATAGAAATAACCATTTATTATAGTTATTAACTTCAATTTTTTATTTCCTTTTGTCATCTTTTTGTGTCTCTTGTGTCCCTCTATGTTGTCTCTTGCTTATTTTCTGTCTGCCTTTGCTTATCTCTTAGTCATAAATGTGTATTTGTCTGCTTGTCTATGTCTTCCTTGAATAGCTTTGTGCTTCTCTACCTTGAGTGTGTCTTCTTGCCCATTTTCCGTGTTTGTCTTGTTAATTTCCTCTGTGTGCCTTTTGCTCATTTTCTATTTTTGTTCCTAAGTGTGGTCTGTGCCTTGTCTTCGATGTATGTATCTCTCCTTTTTTCTCATTTTGTTTCTCTTTGCTCTCCTGGATCTTGCTTTTCTTTCACTTATTCCTGTATGTCTCCTCTTTGGTCATATGTTGTGTGTTTCTCTTGCACTTTTCTTATTGTGCCTACCTTGCTTTTTCTCTTTGTGACTTGTGATTGTCACCCTTTCCTCTTTTTGTGGTTTGACATTTCAGCTTTTTCTGATTCTGGCCTCTTTTCTGCTATGTCTCTTCCCTATCTCACGTTTTTCTTTTCTGCATTTCCTTTCTACCTTTCTTGTTCCTCCTTTGTGTATCTCAATGTTTCAGCTGCTTGTGACTTTCTATTCTAGCATTCTTGTCTCTGATTGCTTACGCTACTTTTCTGCTTTGTCCTTTGCCCTTTTCTACTCACCTCTGAATATTTCAGCCTCTTCATGAGTCTATGTCTGCTCTTTGCTTTCCTGGAATCCTCTCTTGGATATTTCCTTGTTTTTATGGCCATATGTGCACGTATGTGTGTACTGTGTGTGACAGGGGCTCCCTAACCCCTTTCTAATAGATGCAGGATGTCGGCTATCAAAACAAGCATTGCACAGCTGTTCCTCATGCGAGGCTGTCCTGTGAAGATGATCTTGCACTAAAATATGTCCCTGGGATCAGTACTGAAGCAAAACCCAAGGCCTAAGAGGAGCAGAAGGAAGAAGGCCCCAAATGAGAGACAGATGGTTTGAAACTGGAGACACAACCTGAAAAGTCCATGTCCCAAGATAGGTGGAAGTCTAAGGCCTGAGACCATGAGAAATCTCAAGAGCCACGATATATAGAAGATGGCCTCAGCTGGATGGAAGGTTCAAGTCTTGAGTTAGAAGGCCAGAGATCTACGATAAGAAGGGCTGTTTCTACAGGACACAAGGAACGCTTAAGAATTTGGACCTAACATAAGGCTGAAGGACTGAATAAGCCCAATGGCATAGTTTTAAGACCTAAAAACCAGGATAGAAAACTCCAGACACAAGACCCAGAAATCAAGCCTCGCTATGTGGACAGAAGGGCTAAGAAAAACATCTCAAGGCTGTACCTGGAAACTGGAGGACCGTGACTGAGAACTCAGGAAGTAGAAACCCTAAGACCAGGGAAAGACCAAGATGAGAACTGTAAATCCAAGCACTTTCCTATTGTTATACCTCTTACTCTTGGACAGTTTTCGTTCTCCCCTTCCAGTTCTCTTATTTTCATTTAATCTTGCTTCTTTTGAGATGCGGTTTTTGTTGTTGCCATGTACCGTAAAGAAACATGTCTTTAGATTAACAATATTATGGATGGACCAATGTTGAGCCCATTTTTAATCACAGGTTTTAGCCATTCATTAAGGTTTTAGTGTTTTATAGACTTTGTTTCTCTTCATGTATATTCAATTTGAGAGGGACACCAAAATCCAGTTGCTGTCTATTCAGGCTTTTGCTACTTCGCTCAAAAAAGCAAGCTCCCATTTAGATATTTTTCATTGTTTCCTATCCCAGAAGCCCTAGCTGATGAAAAAGTAAAGCATCAGGTTGGAAAAAAAATGCCAGGCTATCTAGAGATAACGTGAAGAGCTACTCCAGGATATTAAGAATAATTAGACAAGAAGCAGACAGATGTGCCAGCCTTCTGACAAGCACCAGCCTGCCTCACCATCCTTCTTTGAGCTTAGGTGAGCAGGACTCCTGTAGTTCCTAGTAATGATTACTGAAAGGATGATTGGGCCTGGCACAGAGTGAGGTCTGGACTCCCTGCTCATAGTAGTGGCCGTATAATTTGAGGCATTGTGCCAAACCTACTCCAGGGTTTCACACCCATCTCTAGACTTGACGATGAGAGAACCTGGGACTGTTGGGTAACAGGTTTAATCTTTTCCTTGATTCTTCCACCATTTTTATGTAAGAAGTTGATTTAAGTGATGAATATGTATGAAAGCAACATAAATAACAAGAGAAAAAATATGGTGTGCTCATTAATACAGTATTGGCAATAAGGCACAGCTAATATTTGAAAGTACAATGTAACCTGTGAAACATTATCAGGGATCATGACATTTTTTTCTGTAAGGGGTCAGATTGTAAATACTTTAGATTTTGCAGGTCTTATGGTCTCTGTTGCGTAGTCTTAAGCTTTTAAAGAGATGAGAGCCATTCAGTTTGTGAGCTAAGTGGGCTTGGCCTGCTACCTATAGTTTAAGAATCCCTGGTATAAATGCCAGAGAATCTTTTCAAATAATATCGATTTCCTTCTTTGTGCCTATCCCTGTTCAGGCACTAGGATGCAGTGACTCTTTGTGATCAGATCCAGGTGACCTGAAGAAAAAATATATAAATGTGCTTTATACATTATAAAACACTTAAAAACTTGTGAATTTCAGTGTTGATAAATGTATTTAACTACTTATAATACATTCTACTGTATTATACTCTATAGATATGAAGATTAAAAGAAGCATAAATAAAAATGCTTTGTCAAAAGAATATAATGCTATGTAGACATAATAAGTGTCCAGTAAATGAATAATTTGTATATTTAAAAAAAAATTTGTATATTCGAGGCCAGTGTATTTCTAACACACTGGTTATTCGAGATAACAAAATAAAACATATGAAAACTGCCTTTAGACTGGAAAATATACTGCAAATACAAGGCATTTTAAGCCATTGTGTTCACCTCTAATGTGACAAAAATATCATGCTAGGCAATAGAAATACCAAGGGACAAAGGTATTCTCTTGGAAGAAAAAGTTTCCGAAAGGAAGTGCATATTAAAGTACATAGTAAATTAAAGCACTGTAGAAATGAGTTCCTTACTTGTTTATGAATGAATATTAACTGCCTCTTAACACATACCAGGTGTTGTTTGGATACATGAAATCCAAGAGAAATTCTACCAAGTATTTCTCCCACGTAATAAGAGGAAACCTTATGCTGTATATTATTTGGATATAAGGAAGGAGAGCACACTGAGTTTAATCAGTTGGAATTTACTGGTGAAGTCAAGTTAAATTGATAACCAGTATATTTTCTCTGGTGACAGAGAAAAGATAAAGGAATATGAGTGTGCTCTGTATACTGTAATGTGCTATAAAAGACATTGAACGTTTCTATGTGACTTAAATCTTCCTGCAAATAGGCATTTTTTTCTATAAGATTCTCATTGTATGCTGGACCCGCAATGAGAAGGATACTATAAATAGTTAAACCAGCCAGGTGTGGTGTGTATGTCTAGTTCCAGCACTTGAGAGGTTGAGCCAGGATCACTTGAGGCCAGCCTGGAAAACATAGCAAGACTGCAACTAAGAATAAGCAATACATGTGTCCTAATGTTCTGTGAACTTTAAAGCACCACATAAATGGAACTATTGACTGTCTTTTTTGGTGCTAAATGCTAGGTTTCTGAAATTGTCACAGCTATTATAGGATGCAAATAAAGCTAAAATGTTTAAGAATTGTTAGCTGTTGAACATTCAGTGTTAATATGTAAGGTATTCAATGATGAATACAAGCATGGACGGTAACTGTCCATTATGTGCCAGTGTCCCTGACACGCACTGAGAATGCAAAGATCAATTATCTATTGTATCCTGGGAAGCAATAGAAATGATGTATAAAATCAGTACTTTGTACACTGCCATTCATTTATAAACAATACCTGGGGAATAACAGGGATTATTTACTATTATCCCCAGAGATACAAGTAGGGGCACTAAAATTGATTTTTATTATTGAACCTGCAACACAGATCTGTGTGTGAATTTATAAAGCCTATACAATTTGGAATTAACTGTTGATTTAATCAGTGAGCATGAATGCTTTCTATGAGGTTCAGAATTACATACCTTTGTATGTAAAAATTACTATTACAGAGTGCTCACAGAGAAGAAATCAAGTAGTAGGTGTGAGATCCACACCAAAAGTCCACTTAACCACTCCTTCCCTTATTCAGTGATGAAGTCAGGAAGGAAGTGGATTTGTGTAAGGCAGTGTAATAAATGCTGAGCTAAGTGGACGAATAAAATCATTTCTAGAAGTTTCTTTCCCATCTGGCTTGATTGGGAAAGTGGTAGTTTGTTTTTAAAAAATCAAAGTGCTATGATTTTCCGTTCAGTTTCTTAAATATTGAGTGCTGGTAATGAAGGTGAATTGAAACCACCCTGGCCTGGCCTAGTTGTGAAGTGAAAATAAAGGGCTCCATTGTTGTAATTCATCTGATAAACAAAACATTGTTTATGTGGAACATGCCTTGTAGGTCCTAACTATAAATGAGGTGAAATGGACCTAATGAAAGGGAATAAGACCACTGATCACAGCTGAAGACAGAAAACACCTTGAATTTGATTATTGAGTAGATAATATTTGACTATCTACTTCAAGGTTGCTTGGTAAGTTTGTTAAGTTGGTCTGTACCAGAAGACCATTGACTTGACTTGGATATGGGAAAAAAAAAAGGCGATATTCATTCAGTCCTGAATGGAGACACTCATCATAGCTCCAGAAAGCCACAAGAGGCACTCACTCATTGTCCTAAAGTTAAAAAGTTTGAGGAGAACCAAGATGAAATGACTGGTTGTAGAAAACCTTTGCTCATTCCCTGACTCGGAGTCAGGACAACACTTGAGCAGTACAAAAATGTTTTGAGATTTATTATAGTAAAAATTTTATTAAATCTTAAAGTGCTGTCACTAAGTGCTGAGGAGAATGAACAAATTTGAAAACCAAAACCAAAATGCACTTTATCTCTGTAGCTTAATGATGGAAATATAACAATGAAAAATCACAGTTCTTTCTTAGTTGAAAAAATATTAAACAGCTGTAATATGTAAGACACTGAAGTGGTATGATGACATAACACCACCTCGTTGGCATGTTTGGTAGGATGGGAGTAAGAGGAGTTTCTATTTTTTCATTCATACAAGTATTGCTAAGATGATGCTAAATACTAAATGAAATCTATGCCAAAAGCCACCTTGTCTGACTTGGAGAGGGACTAAAAAAGCACCATCTATAATGTCGAGCCATTGTGTTTTTCCTGGACAGAAAACAAAAAAGATCTTGACTGCCACTTATTGGCTCAGAGATTAAGACTACAGGATGAAAGAGACCATTGATCCATTTCTTGATCCATTTTACAAGTACATTTAGATACCTATTGAATATAGGGTTGTTACGTCCTCAACTGGCCCCAGAGATGGAAGAAAAATTCATGCCTTCCCAGAGAACTTCTAAAACTTTCGGTGGTGTTTTCTGGTTATGGCTACAGCTTGGTCCCTAAATAATGCTGTGTAGTTTAATTCCTAGTTATTTCTCTTCCACCACTCTGGCCACTACGATGAGCAGGTAGCTGATTTTTGAGGAACTTGTTCCTTAAGTCGCTGGAACCCTCCATATAGTAGACAATTTTTCCTAGCCTTCACCCCATGTTAAAATTACTGACCGGTGATGGCAGGAGGAATGACAGCGAACTAGTTTCCAAACCCCATTGTCTTTGGAATCCGCTCATTCTTGAGCTTGGTTTGAAATGCATTTACAAGTTTTATCTACTTTCAGTTCTTTATATGCTGGTGCATATACACTACCTCAGTAGCTCTTTCCCAGAAGCAATCCTCAGATAGCTCATAAGTAGATTTGAGATGGAGGCATGACCTCTTTTGCAACAGCTTCTCAATTTATACTTTAGAAATGTTGCCATCAAAATACTCTCGAGGGCTTGTTATGGTAAAAGAGTATTAGTGGTTGAAAAGAGCTGAAACATTTACCAAGCTTGCTTAAAATTTATGTATAGTAGAATAAAAATTGGAAATAAGTGACAAAAACTGGAGGAAAAATGCCCTCTAAGTGCATGCTTGACTTGAGCTTTGATCTTTTCTAGTTTACAATCACTCACAGAGGGTGGGACAGGAGGAAGAGTGAAGGAAAAGGTCAAACCTCTGTCAGAGGGCGAACTTCCTTTGTTCCGGATTGGTGTTAAGAGTATTACTGGCGCAAGATCTAAATTGGGGTTGCTTTTTAAAATTGAGTGCAGTTCAAAAACTGATCACTGTTGAGATGAGGTACTGATTTGTTACCAGCTTCTGAGAAATAATTATTTTTGTCCAAATGGTTGCCACCGAAACCTTGTGTTAGATGAGAATAGGCTGACTTGAATCAGTGTGACCCTTATAAGGTAGTCTTAAAACAGGAGTCAGAATTTTAGTGCAAAATAAGAGGACCTTATTGTTCATTGTCGGTCATTGGTACTTGGAAAGCATCTAAATTGCAGTTTGCATGGCAAGCCAAGAACGGCATCCGTAAATGGAGAAGAAAATAGATAAATGGCAAAGGGTAACTGGTGGTACGAGCAAAGTTGAAGACAGTCTGGGGTGAAATGTTCTAGTTTTTGCATTGTACACTTTTAGTTAAGTATCAGAGCTGAAATATTAAAAATGTTTCACTTTTAAAGTGCGTTCCCAGCTGGGCCTGGGCACTCTCCTTTCTTTAACTGGGGTGGTGGTTTCCTGACTGACTGGAGAATATAAATGAGAAAGTAACTGAAAGCTTTCCTTTCAACAATTTCTGCCACTACTGATTAAACAAGAATGGGAGAGATTGTGCGCCCATCACCTGCTTTTGTCATGTTAATGAAATTGTGATGGACAAATCTGTTTAAAGGAAATTAGTTTATCTCTAGCTTTCTACCTCAAAGGGAATCTGCATCAAAATGCTACAGTGGAAGACACTTTGGACTTATGAACTGATGTATAACGTTGAGTATTGAGTGTTTGCAAGCTTCAAAAATCTTGCTCAGCATCAATGATCACCAAAAGGGAATGTAAAGCCATCTACTTATCACAATTGAGACAAATTTGGGAGTTTGTTGACCACTGTAAAATAAAATGTTTTTTTTGAGAACTTTGTTTCCGTGTGACAATTTCTAACTTGTCCATCCCGTAATACACTAGTTACCTCTTTTTTCTTTTTTTTAAATACTATAATCACCTTGATAGAGGAAATAATTTTTATCAAAGATACTGAGCACACAAACCCAATAGAAAATGTGACAAGCAAAAAAGTATTGCTGAAGAATAGGATGTTAGTAAGTATCAATAAACTGTAAGGTTGTGGGAATTAATAACCATTCTTAGACAAATCCATGTAATTAAAGAAGTAACAGGTCCAGACCTTGACTAGGAGAAGGAATTTTGGATGTTTCTAGAATTCTGAATTAGACACTAAATAGTAATTGGTAACGTATATGCATATGAGCCTGTGCAGTGTTCTATAAACAGTATTTCTACTGCTTTGTTTTTGACAAACTGAAAACTATTGCTTTGGGGTAAAAAAAAAGCCTTAAGCAGTTATGGGCCAGGGGCTGGGGATTTAGCTCAGCAGCACAGCACCTGCCTGGCAAGCGCAAGGTCGTGAGTTGGATTCCTGGTACCGGAGAAAAACCAAACAAAAAGCAGTTATGGGCCAAATGATTAGTGTATGTTGTTTAAAAACTGATGCCTAGAAACTCATCTTATTTGATACAGCCAAATCTCATTAAGAATGTGAATAGAGTAGGCCGGGCCTGGTGGTGCATGCCTGTAATCCTAGCATTCAAGAGGCTGAGGCAGGAGAATCATTGCAGCCTGGGCTACAAAGGGAGTGCAAGGCCAGCCTGAACTGCATAATGAAACCTTGTCTCCAAGAAAAAAAGAATGAATAGAGTTTGAGGTGATGAGATTAATGGAATCCTAGGGTGCTGCTTCTGAACTGGAGTGGTTCTAAGTAGGCGTTAGTGCTTACTTCCATTCCCTTGCAAAGCAAGATGTATGGGACAGAGAGGAAAAACAGTCTGAAACAGGTGAAATAAGGAAAGACTTTTTTTCCTGGTAATACTCCTGGGTTTCATGAATGCCCCTGACTCCCTGGTGATGGATTTTCTTTGGGACTGATTTTAGGCTTTCCATATTTGTTATGCTTAATGTTGTTATGGTTTATGTGTAGATGTGCCCCCAAAGCCTCATGCAGTCATAGGGGCGTGCTTCTAGAGTTTGTGATTGATCCATGGTCCCATGTGGGATTCTGGATTTGACTGCTACACCCACCCTGGGGTGGGTAGCTTGCATACAATATAACGGAGGGAAAGAGGTTTGCTCTTTGCCACTCATTTTTTGCTCTTGCTGCTTTTGCTGTTTGGCACTGCCATGGATCATTGCCCTCTGCCATGTGCCACTCTGCCTTGGAGCCAGCTGACTATGGACTGAAACCTCCACAAACTGTGAGCTAAATAAACGTTTCCTTCCTTAATTTTGGGTATCGGGTGTTTTTGTCCCAGCGAGACAAAAGTAACCAAGACAGTTGTGTTTGTGGTACCATTCAAAACTCTCTTCATTGTCTTGTAACACTCTGATGCCGAGGAATAGAAAGCCACTGTTCTATGGTGAACAAGGAAAGGTCAGGAAGGAAGTTTTATAAAGGTGGCACAAATAATTTGAAAATGTCCGAGTGTCACGAGGCTGAATCTGAGGATCCATGAGGTTGAAATAAAGAATCTATCCCACCCTTATAGAATAAGTTTTCAGGCTTGCTGACTCCTGCCATGGAAAAAATTTTCAGGATACATCAGTAAGAGGTAGGAGGATGGTTTATTAGAGATTTTAAGACACACTGAAGAGCGGGCACTCAGCGAAATGAAGTGCATTATAAGTGGGAACTGGGTATATTTGAGGGGATGTCTTCAAGATGTGTCATCTGGGATGTGTATTTTTACTGTCAGGTTACTCTGCAAGCCATTTACATATATTGGAGGTTGAGATATGTTGTCCACCAATATTGCTGCTTCCTTGAGGGTGGAGGAAGCACAATTTATAGAAGAAAAGGACAGGTTTAGAGCCAGGATTTACAGCCTTATTGTCTTTTTTTTTTTTTTTTTTTGACAACTTTTATTTTATTTTATTTTGCTTTTTTATCTTTTTTGAGACAGGGTCTCGCTATGCAGTTCAGGCTGGCCTTGACCTCACTTTGTAGCTCAAGGCTGGTCTCAAACTCCCAGTGATCCTCCTGCCTCAGCCTCCCGAGTGCTGGGATTACAGGTGTGTGCCACCACAGCTGGCTCAACTTTTAATAATGGAAATCATTTTGCCATTCAAGAAACAATTTAGGGGAAAAAAAATCTTCCCTATAAAAATAAAACATCAAAATTATAAATATAAGTTTTAAAATGCTCCCCTGTAATACTATCCCTTCATTTCACACCTTTCCTTTTCTTTTATTTTAAAAATAAAAGGAGGAAAACATTAACAGACAGACAACGTTTTACAAAATAGCAAAAGAACAGTAAAGACAATACAGAGTTACAAACAAAGTGGTAGGAAATTAACAGTGCTTGTTGGGTTTTTTTTGTTTGTTTTTTCTTCCGGTACCAGGAATCAAACTCAGGACCTTGCACTTGTCAGGCAGGCGCTGTGCCACTGAGCTAAATCCCCAGCCCCTTCACACCTTTCCTATTCCATCACATTTTGAAGAGAAAACAGTATTACAGCAAAGCTTAGTTTTAATTTAACACAAGGATTTGTACAATGAGAGGCTTATTGTCTTTAAGATCAGTAGGATTTTTTTTTTTTTTTTTTTTTTTGAGTGAGTTTCCTGGAAGGGAAAAAGGCTTGAGTATCTTTTGTGTCTTATAACTGCACTTAAATGCAAATTTAAATTCTTGATTTCTTTGCCTCCTTTCTACTTAGTTTTTATTTCTTGTACCTCAAAAACATTTGTTAGTATTTTTCAGCTTTCTGATTTTCTGTGGGGGTGAATGTGGGATGATCACTGTGTGTGTGTAGTTACATTTGTTTTTGGCAGGCCAAGCCACATCCACAGAGCTCATGCCTCCTCTCAGTTTACTATTCTGCCATTGGTTTTGAGAAACTCCCTTTCTTTACATTTCATCAAAAAAGATAGTGTTACTGGGTGGAGTAGACTAAGGCAACCTACAATTTGTTTCAAATTGAAATTTGTGTAATTAAATGTTCTAAAATTGAGCTAGCCATTCTGTTCACTGAGTGGATAGGCAAAGCTGGGCGGTGTATGCTTGTGATCTCAGCTACTCAGGAGGCTGATGTAGCAGGCCTGCAAGTTTGAGGCCAGCCTGTGAAATCCTGTCAGAGCAGAATTTAAAAAAATGGCTGGCTGGTGATGTAGTTCAGCCATAGAGTACCGCCCTAGCATGTGTGAGGCCCTGGGTTCAACCCCCAGTATAGCAAAAATAAGTAAAACTGAGTAGGTTGGTATGATAGAAGTGGTACTAGTTAAGTAAGTGAGGACAATGAATAGAAAGACTTTGTGTTTATTCCTAATGGTTATATCAAATGGAATACCATGATAGTTGCAGCGTGGCTGAAGAGCCTTGTGGCTATGTCCCTGACCTTTAATCCCACTCACCTTTATTGTTTTATTTGACTTGGTAAATGTAAATTTTTTTCTTTTTAGTCTTTCTGAGACAGGGTCTCACTATGCAGTTCAGGCTGGCCTTGAACTCACTTTGTAGCCTAGTCTGATCTCCCAACCATCCTCCTGCCTCAGCCTGCCGAGTGCTGGGATTAAAGGCATGTGCCACCACACCCGGCAGGTAAATGTAAATTTCTGAGGGCTTTTTATAGCTGTTATATTTGGGGTTTGTCATGGTCTTTCTCCAAGTGACAGCATTCTTAGTGATCTTTCCTTGCCACATTCTGTAAAAGCCCCACCACAGACATCAAAGTTCTAGTTTAATTCCCAGTTCCCACCCCTGCCCTGAGGTTAGATCTTCATGTTTACCATTTCTGGAATG